GATAAAACTATAAGCCATAAAGAAAATGTGTCTCTACTATCCTGGATGATATTATCTAATCTAATATTGCATCCATCTTTCATTGCTCTAAGTTTTGCTTATTGTTGCCTGTCCAGAGGATAGGCAAGTTTAGCAACAATTCTGAACTTCGTCACCTTACTTTCCTTTTTCCCAACTTCTTGTTTCAGAGCGGCGCTAATTTACATCACTCATGGATCGGCTAACCAGTGCTGCACGTCTCATGATAGTCTCAGATCTAGACCATACAATGGTGGGTTTGTCATAGTTGTCATTTCTCCTGCATATGCTGCTGTAACTTATGTGACATTTTGCTGTACAGGTAGATCATCATGATGCCGAGAACCTTTCTCTGCTTAGATTTAATGCCTTATGGGAGGCCAATTATCGTGATAACTCTTTGTTAGTGTTCTCAACTGGGAGATCACCTACACTTTACAAGGAGTTGAGGAAAGAAAAGCCCATGCTAACCCCAGATATTACTATTATGTCCGTGGGAACTGAAATAACATATGGTAACTCTATGGTGCCTGATGATGGCTGGGAAGCTTTTCTCAATAACAAGTGGGACAGAAAGATAGTAACCGAGGAAACTAGCAAGTTTCCTGAACTCACTCTACAGGTACACTTATGGGTTGGCATGAGATCATCTGTTACTTCAGTTTCGGTTGCAAAGCTTAAATTTAATAGTAGATCTTGAAAATCAGTTATGGTTTAAAATAGTATGTAAGCTGAAACATAACTTCAGCAACTGGTATCTATAAAAGCAACTTCTTTTGGTCCCTGCAGTCGGAAACTGAGCAGCGACCACACAAGGTCAGTTTCTATGTTCAGAAAGACAAAGCACAGGATGTAATGAAAACACTTTCCAAGCGCTTGGAAGAACGTGGGGTATGATACTCAACTTTTGCACTTCAGATTTTGGCATGATATATTCATATTGCGAGTTCAGAGCATGTAGTTCTTGCTATGCTGCAGTGAACTCAAAATTCTTTTAGATTCATGTTGAGCTTCACTTCTTTTTTATCTAATTTTTTCTTTCTGTTGTCATCATCAGCTGGATGTTAAAATAATTTACAGTGGGGGAATGGATCTAGATATATTACCACAAGGCGCTGGCAAAGGACAAGCACTTGCATATTTGCTTAAGAAATTGAAGAGTGAGGGTAAATTGCCAAACAACACCCTTGCCTGCGGTGACTCCGGGAATGATGCTGAGCTATTCAGTATCCCGGATGTGTATGGTGTAATGGTTAGTGGTTCAGCTACTTTCCAACATATCCTTATAATCTGGTAATATATTCTCATGTTTGTGGTCAAAAGTACTCTCTAAATGTACAGTCACTTCGCAGGTAGCTAATGCGCAGGAGGAATTATTGCAATGGCATGCTGCAAATGCGAAGAATAATCCTAAAGTAATTCATGCAACAGAGAGGTGTGCTGCCGGTATCATACAAGCTATCGGTCATTTCAACCTAGGTCCAAGTACCTCTCCTAGAGATGTTATGGATTTGTCAGACTGCAAGATGGAGAACTTTGTTCCCGCCTATGAAGTTGTCAAATTTTACCTGTTTTTTGAGAAATGGAGGCGTGGAGAAATTGAGCATTCTGAGCATTACTTGTCAAACCTGAAAGCAGTGTGTGTATGTTTAATACCCTATACCTACTGCTATTTCATTGTCTTATGTGTATTTTTGTGTTATGAGTTTGACCGTGGATTCTAGAAAATTTCCCTCCGTAAGTACTCCCCCCACCCACCCAAAACCCACCCAAAAAAAGTTACAGAAAGATTTTTCCACCATATCTGAACAGAACATATGCACTTTTTTTAATGCTTATTGAGTACAGCTTCTAAGTGAATTAACCTCCTTGTGTTGCTGAAACTCCTTTCCACAACCATAGAGAGAGAAGCTTGTATACTTCCGTTTTTGTGGTATCCGCATATATGCTTTTTCAAGTAACAAACTGAAGTAGTATCTACTCGCTCAATAAAAATACTTTAAAAAAGTGGTAACCTATGCTCTCCATGTACTCTTTCTCTCTCGACCCTCCTGGTTTTTTGTTTTCTGGTTGAGTGAAAGGCCGAAGGTGAGAGGTGGGTTTAAACCTCGTGATTGTTTTTTCATTGTGGTTGGCGATCCTTATTTGCTAACTCTTCTATTGCTGCAGAGACCATCTGGTACTTTTGTCCACCCATCTGGTGTCGAGAAATCCCTTCAGGAATGTGTAACTTTATTCAGGACGTGTCATGGTGACAAACAGGGGAAACAATTTCGTATTTGGGTCGATCAAGTTTTACCTGTACAGGTTGGTTCAGACTCATGGTTAGTGAGTTTCAAGAAGTGGGAGTTCTCTGGTGAGTATCTTTTACCTCATGAGACGGTCTTTCATTTTGCTCTCGACTTTGTAGATGGTTCTAGATGTCACTGTATCTGTCTTCACTTTTTACAGTCTATGACATGCTTTTCCCAAACTGGGTCTTTCAGTAATAATTCCAACCTCATTTACTAACTTTTGTCCCTTGGTGTGTTTGTGTGACCCTCATTTACTAACTTTTGTCCCTTGGTGTGTTTGTGTGACTCACACCCTTTTACAGGATCTACGTTCCATCATAATTTTGATATGTTTTTATTCCTTCCATGCTAGTGAAGTAATTATCTAAAGAGGTTTAGGGAGGTAAACAGAATTTGTAGTTCATTATTGTAACCTGTTATTAGGTCCGCTTACATTTCAAATTCTATCTTAAGCGTCTGAAGGTTGTTCAAAGTGTTATTACTTGAAGAACAAACAACGAGGATGGGGGAAGGAGATGGGGTAAAGCCGTAAAGAGATATTACTTACATTGTTGAAATAAAAATCTTTTGTTTGCTTCAAGCATGTAAACTTGTTGATTGTCTGCATCTGTGCGACATGTTGATGTTGAAGTTGTGTTCCAGCAATAGTGACAAACCATTATGGAACAGTTGACGCCTGAGGCCATACTTTAAATATGCCTCAATCAGATAATAATTTGGGTTACTTTCCTCTGGATTACTTTTGCTAGCTATCTCAATCACACATTAGTTTTACAAATTCATTCCTGCGATCACCATCATAGCGTGCCTATTGTGTACTGATTCTTTTCTTTGCCCTACAAGACTTCTTGAGCATTCACTAAATCCCATGTTAAGCCCCTCAAAGACCAATTCAAGCTTCTGTTGTGAACATTGGTAGTTGGGGCATAGTAATGAGTCAAGTATATAGCCTTTCCATTTTAGAGCTTAGGTGAGGTTTATGTGCTTAAATTGTACTATATTTGAGCCCCTACTCTCTGGATTACAGTGCCTACGCTACTTTGGTCTACCAAGAAGTCAAAACAGAAATTCTTATGAAAAAAAACGTCTAAACAGAATAGTCTTGCAACCAAAGAGGTTCGGGATTTTCCTATCTGATTTCACGGTAGGTAGATCAAGTTCAGCAAAACTATTACTCCCTCCGTTTCAATTTATGTGAACCCATTTGACTGGGCACGGAGTTTAAGAAAAGAGAGAAGACTTTTGAACTTGTGGTGTAAAATGAGGCACATATATTTTGTGTGGCTATAAATCATTGCATAAAAGTAAATTGTTTCCAAATAAGGAAAGGGGTCATTCTTTTTGGCACGGACCAAAAAGGAAATAGGTTCACATAAATTGAAACGGAGGGAGTATGTATTTTCCCTCTTCCGTGGGAGGTGGGAGGAGTTAATGTATTGATGTTGATTCAAATCTCATGAAATTATACTCCTGTAGGTCGTTGATGATCGGTGTTGGATCAGCACAGTTGACGAACAGCACTATTCGTGTCATTTTCGTTCTCATAGCTCTTTTATTGTTTTCACGTCGTTATCTTATAAGTTGCTGATTCCTGCAGGTGAAGACAGGCGATGTTGCGTAACTACAGTCCTATTAAGTTCAAAGGTAAAATTTCAAAATTGCAGACAAATGATTATTCCATGTAAATATTACAACTGAAACCTATTATAATCTGTCTTTGTTCCCAGAATAAGACTGTCGCGGATGGACTCACTTGGACACACGTACATCAGACATGGCTGAATGGAGCTGCAGCAAGTGACTCTACGACCTGGTTCTTTTAGATTGTCATCTCAGTTTAACTCTGAAAAGTCAGTACTCCTTTTACCAATTCACCCATAATAAACACAAAATACAAACTATATCAATATGCATCAGTGGCTGCTGGTGGCTTCCGCTTCTTCCTGGCCCATTCTTGTCTCACTCTTCTTCATTGATAATCCATGTATAACCATCTAAAGTCTAAACCGTGAAGATGGCTTCATCGTTTGTAGTATAAAAGTTTATATTAGCTGCCACAGTTGTAGTATTGACAGTTGTAGCAGTCATTTCTTATGAACAATGAGATTGTTACAAAGTACTGCATAGTAGCTTCTGTAGGTTGTGGGATCACTTTAAGCCTGGATTACATGTATGTTTACTACGTAAGTTATAGTGGCTTATAAGATACTTTGCTTCCCAAACTTGCATTGATTTAATTAGTCCNAGTAAGACTGCATATAATAGACCCTTATGGTCCTATCCTTCCCCCGAACTCCCCACATAACGGGAGTTTAGTGCACCACATTATCCTTGTTTTTAGTGTAATATTTGGGTTAATTTCATGTATAGTCCAGGTTAGTGAACTTTACTCATTATAACTTCAGTCATGATAATAGTAAAGTCACAATATTATCTTTTGTCATACTAAGGTAAATGAACTACGTCGGAGTGTTTGTCTCATCTTGAGAAACATTGACACGTGTCAAATGTGCCTCCACCTATGTTGCCAAACATTGAAACCTATGCTATCTTTTATTTTCTTGAGGAAATTCCTATTATTTTTTACTAGGAAAAGGAATTTTGCCTAAACAGGTTTGATATCAAAGCATGCGAAAAATTCATGGCACTCGAGAAAAGGGAAGGGAAAAAAAGCACCACAGATTGGAATTAGCAAATTAAAAGATCAAACACTATTAATTATAGTGTTCCTTTCATTAATTCCACATGTGTAGGTTAAGAGATTATTCATCGCCAAATCTTTCCAATGATTACAACCCAAAATAGGATGCATATATAGAAGTAGAAAGAGTTAATAATAAACTCTTGAAATGTTAAGATCAAATACCAATTTAACTGTTTTGGCCAGTAATCTTATCAAGGCAATCACTAGCAATCCCTTGTGCCCAATTGTCAAATTTCTTGAACTCAGGATCAAATCCATATATAGAAGTAGCACATTCATTGCAAGTATCAATGTTTGTTGACATGGCACTAACATCCACATTAGCTTTGTACATATTTCCTGCTTTCACATCTTCCTCAGTCCTCTTCATTGCATCCTTTGCATCTTCAAACACAGACTTGCATGTCTCAAGACAATCCTTAGCATAAATGTCTGTGTTTGGTTCAGCCAAACGTTTGTCAATGACTTTGCTAATAAATTCGTCGGTCTTGGACATTGTTGCATCCATGATGGCTTTTACAAATATCGAGACATCTTCTGTTGAGATAACGGGGATGTTTTTTGGAATTTCAAAAGTTGTTGCAGAGGTTACAGAGGCAGTTAGGGATGACAATGAAGAGGCCGAGGCAGAGAATAAGGCCGAGGTCGAGGACGAGGACTGTTGTGGAGAAAGGGCAGGTGCATGGGATTGTGATAGAGTGGGGTAATTTTTGTATGCCTTAGAGGGGAGGGTTGTAAGGAAGAAAGAAATGGTGAAGACAAGAAATATTTGGGTATAAAAGGTCATTGTCTTTCTTTTTTAATTTAGAAGAGAAATTAAGAAGATGAAAAAGATAATGGAGAATAGAAAGTGGTGAAATCTTGAGATTCATTGGGTTGTTTTTATACATAAAATCGAGTTTTAGCTTCATTGGCTATGCTTAAATATAGATATTGAAGTACATATTAACCTTCATTTGACAACTTCGTTTTAGAGATTCTAGTTCTCTAATTTATTATTGAAGGTAGGGGTGTTCAAATCGAACCGGAAAATTGCACCAAACCGAAAAACCAAATCAAATTGATTAAAAATTCTGACTAGGTTTGGTTTGACTTGGTTTGGTATTAAGTAAAAAACCCCGAACCAATCGACATATAAATATATAAATTTTATTTATATTTTTAAGAGTTTATAGTGATTTTTCTTTAGAAAATGTAGAAATATTTGGGATCCTCTCATGTATTAACCCTAAATGCGTAAATTAACGAAAAATTATTGTTAGACGACTAAGAAAATAACTATTATGTGTTACTAAAACAAATTCTCCCATTAGAATATTTTAATAGATCATATGTTTGTTAATTTTTTTCATATTTACTAAACATATTCACTTATCAAAGCTTTATATATAATTTAACAAAGTAAGATTGAAATAATATTCATATAATAACAAAACCTGAAAAACCCGACAAAACCGAACCAATCCAAACCGATATAGTTGATTTGGTTTGGTTTTGGTAAAAACCGAACCAACCGGGTCTATGTACATCCCTAATTGAAGGATATAATTTTTTGGCCCCACAAACTCACCAACCCACATAACGTTGGATCAAATTACGGAATATTGTGTGTATTCGACTGCTCTTTTATTATAGATAAATTAAAAAAATTAAACAAACACTTTAATTTTTATGAATGGGGATGTATTATAACATTGTTCAAAGTTATTACAAATCATATTAATGCCTCTTCGGACATCTTCATTGCCAAGTTCAATCAGCCCAGTACATGCGTTATTCGTAATTAGTTTAACAAAATATTTCCCACTGTAATTAATATTGATCGGTTAAAATTAATTAGAATTTGATATTATATGTTATGAAGAAGTTATACTGGGATAACTTTTGTGTAAATAACACGATATCTATCATTTGAAACTTTGAATTATTTTATTAAAGTGACCTAATAAATTTCTAAATTTAGACATTTTAAGAAAGACAATGTAGATCTTTAAGAAAGAAAAAGGGTACTATAAGCTAAGACTAGAGTGACAAATCAAAGATACTTCCACTTGTGGCAATATTTTTTTTAGCTTCATATAAAAGCATACGTTGAGATTTTTTTTTCTTTCCAAAATAAGGTTAATTAACTTCTATTAACCTTAGTATACAATAATTCGTAAATATATTGTTTATTTTTTCTAGCCCTATATATAGATTATATATTGATTACACATATATTATATATATATGGCTATTTTTAGTTTAAGCGGTTGGGCGGGCGGCTATTTGGGTTAATTTTTCAAAAAATAACTGCATATAATCATCAATATAAAATATGATTAGTACTTGAAAAGTAATGTAGTTTACCAATTATGACACGTTAAAACACGCTAAGAGTATAAAAAATTATTTATAATTATTAATGTATATAACTTAAATCCTTCCAAAATATTGAATGCATGGCGTGTAAATGATCTAACACCAATTTTGAATTCCAAATTGCTAAAACATATATTTGAGAAATTTTTAATCAAAGAAGAAATTAGATTACAGCAAAATTGTTACCAATAGTACTGTTATTAGCTAGCCAATAGTCATGACCAATTCTTTCCCCTGAATTCCAAACCCAACACGTTATTAATAATGGAAATAATTAAATAAAACAACATTAGCCAGGTTATTAATTAATTATATTCCACCCAAACCACCTGAATCCCCAGCTATAAAAAAACAACCATATAAAATTTGTATCTGTATGAATTAATAGTGTTATAAGTATCAATTTAACTTGTATGCATTGGCATATAAAATCTTTATCAATGCATATAAGTTATTTAATAGTTTAACTGCTAAAGCCCACAATTTTTTCCAAGGCATCTTCAGTAATTTTGCCTGCCCAATCATCAAATGACATGAATTCTTGATCATCACCATATATCTCCTTAATACAATCCATACAAGTTTCTAAATCAGTAGTCAAAGCACTAAGATCAACATTAGCACTGTAATAAGATCCTCTATTAACATCTTCAATGGTTTTTTTCATTGCATCAACTGCATTCTCGTACACTTCTTTGCATACCAAAAGACAGTCTTTAGCAAAAGGATCTGCTGCTGGATCAGACAATCGTTTTTCGACAACGCTGTCAATGAAATTTTCTGTCTTAGACACTGTTTTTTCCATTAAGGAATCAACATAATGGTTTACAGCATCTTTGTTTCCAAGTGAAACTTGATCATTTGTTGGAATTTCAACATTTTGTGTGGATGGTGATCCATTTGGTGATGAAGAAATGTAAGAAATAGGGGCAGGGGAGGGGCTGGGGGTAGCAATGTTGAGTTGAAAAACAAGAAAAGAAAGGGAAATGAGAAGCAAGATTTGGTTATGTAGAGCCATTCTTTTAGTTTCCCTTTTTCTTCTATTTTTATTGATTTTTCAAGGAAGAAAAGGGAAAATTTGATAATGGTGTTTTATTATGAGGAAAGATGAGATGCTTTAACTAGGGTTGTATTTATATTGTAAAGGTAATGACAAGTTTGCTTGGCGATCCAAGAAAATAGAATGTCTAGAGGAGAATATTTGTCTCTTTGTAATACAAGTGTATGTTATAGGTCAAGGTGTTGTTACAATTTTCAATCTGTTTGTTACTATAAATTACATGGCTAGTAGGCTTTCTCTAGTAACAGGAATTTTACTATTCCTTTTTTTGATTGTCTAGAAATAGAAACTTCTTTTTATCCATTTAGTTGTTGGGTGTTTGGATATACAACCGTATTGACAGTATAAAATATGTTGGCAAAATCAGGTTAAAATATTAGTACGTGTAAAACTTTTTTACACTATAATTAAAAAGTTAACAATTAGCTGCATAAAATAGCCTAACCTGGTAACGTTGATAATAAAATAAATAACCTCTTGTAATTGGTAAAAGAACACTAATAGTATAAATATTCTTTACATAATCGGTATTACTAATATAATCTAATTGGATTAAAAAGAACTCATAAGGTTTAGGTTTTGCATGATGTTGCTGCTATCCTTAACTACAAGCTTACCTTCATAGCAAGCATAAGCGGATTTAGAATTTGAAGGTGTCGAAGCACGTGAGTAGATTGCTCAATTAGTACCCATCAAACTTTTAATTTTAACTGTTTCAGGCAAAATATATAACAATTTCAACGTATATACACACATATATTTTGAATTTTTGTCGAGATTAACAAGGTCCGATGATCTCTCTTCTCTATACATAGGTCAGCCTCCGGCAGCAAAAGAATCTTAACAAAAAGTGAAAAATATAAGCAATTTTTTAGGTCAATATATTTGTTATACTAGCATTAATTAAGGGTGTATTGTGGGCCGGGCCTAGCCCGGAATCGGCCCGGGCCCGCGTGCCAAACGGTTTAAACAGGCCGTCTCTAGTGGTGAAAAAGCCCATAGCGGGCCGGTCCTGACCAAATAGCCCGTGAGCCGGGACCGTTTAGCCCGGGACCGACAGGCGGGACTGGGCCGG